ACCTAGAGAAACAGAACTCGATGCAAACAAACAAACAAACAAACAAGGAGTAACATACCAGTTCCTAAATGGTATGCCAAAACCCCTTATTTAAAAACAGAATAAAGCACACAGGTCAGGAAGTAAATGAATTATGGTGTTTTGTACATTTTACCTTGAGCAGGAGACTGCCGCTGTTGCTTTCTAATGATGAAAAGAATGGGCTCTTGAGCATGTAAAAGGATGTATTCAACTCCAACCATCTGACTGAAATGGAGACATACAGAGATCTATGAATGATTCCCAAAACTCTGCAGGACACTTAAATTACCAAATAAATTGCAACAGCAGTATAAAAGGGGAACAAAAACTGCTTATGGTTAACATTAAAAGTTGGCTATTGAATAAAACCAGCTATTTTCCAGACATTTGGTATATAGATTAAAATGTGGTTTTTAAACAAATTTATACATTCATAAAATTTATAAAAATTCACGAATTTAAATTTGGTCTAGTAAGATTATGCTTAAAACTACAGTAAGTTAGCCGTTGGTGGCGCACGCCTTTAATCCCAGCACTTGGGAGGCAGAGGCAGGCAGATCTCTGTGAGTTCGAGGCCAGCCTGATCTACAGAGAGTGCCAGGATAGGCTCCAAAGCTACACAGAGAAACCCTGTCTTGAAAAACCAAAAAAAAAAAAAAAGGAAAAAAAAAACTACAATAAATTACCTTTAACAGTTATAGTTACCTCATAGCAAAAGCTATTTAAAATACAGAAACTAAACTCTATAAAACCACTGAGCCTAAAACTTTTGGTTTTCCTTCCAAACGTCAACTGTGATGGTCACAGGCAAAAGGACAGATCATTGCAAAATCTCTACTTGGCAAAGATGCTACCTTCTTAAAACTTACTTCAAGTGCTCTAATGTTAGCCTCTGCATCTTGACCACTTCATTATTACATGTCCTGTCATAAAAAGGATTGCTTCTTTCTGAAAAGTAATCCAGGACACTACCACTGTTCAAAATGGGAATCCAAGAGCTGTCAACCCAAGAGATTCCCAACAGATTATCTATAGGAAAGAAATAAAAGAATTAGGAACAGTAAATAACCTAATCCAGTAAATATATACTATATACTGTGAAGTAATGACATAGATTCTGCCCTAAGTACTCTTATATTTTTGGTTGTGAGCCTAGCTTTAACAGCTGAGCCATCTTCTCTCCACCCCAGGCCTATGTACTCTTAACGGAAGAGAGAAATATGAAAAAGGAACACAGTAAGGACTATAGTAACGTTAGGGATAAATTAATCACAAAAGCACAAATAGGGGAACAAAACACTTTACAGAAGAAATATAAATTATTTTTCATGAGGCAGAAGGTGGTTTTTGCAGTGTGTTAAAGAAGGCGGCTCACCGTGAAGAAAAGAAGGGTAAACTATTTCCCAGCAGAAAAAACTCATACAAAAAGGTACAAAAAGATAAAATATATTGTTTATATTTTTTAATTTTGAATAGTTTGATTGGATAAAGAACCGTTAAGATTTGAGATCTAGACAGATCTTTTTAAAGACTAGAAATCCAAAGTTTTTAAATGCTGACAACTGATACAAAATTTTACAAATACACCCACAACCACGGTTTACAGATCCTTCCATTGGAAGGCAAAGAATGCTAGGGAGACTCTACTATAGACAGGAGGTTAATGATGTAAAAGCTAAGGGGCAAATGGTGAGTAACATCCCCTTTTTACAGCCATACCAGTTCAGACTCAGGGTCTAATTAAATCTTAATTTTTAAGAAGACATGGTTAGGGACTGGAGAGATGGCTCAGAGGTTAAGAGCACTGGCTGCTCTTCCAGAGGTCCTGAGTTCAATTCCCAGCAACCACATGGTGGCTCACAACCATTTATAATAGGATCTGATTTCCTCTTCTGGCCTGCAGGCACACATGTGGACAGTGTACTCGTACCTAAAAAAAATAATTAAATCAAACAAAAAAAAGGGAATCTTCATTTCAAAAAAAAAATAAAAAGACATGGCTAGATCCAAAAATAGTGATGAGGACCTTCAGGCCATAGCACTCTGGGAGGCTAAGACAGGAGGATCAACAGATTGAGGCCAGCTTGAGCTACATATGATCCTGTCTCAAAAGACATGGTGAATTAGTTTTCTACAACTAATGAGTTTTATTTTTGTGATGATGTTTAAGTCTGTGATGATGATGTTTAAGATCAGCGCCTACTAAAGTTAAACACCACTAGAGTTAAATTATAACCATCATCATGCTTATGTGATACTGGCTGTAAAGCTTCACCTCTTCTATACAGCTACTCTGGGCATCTCTGAAGAAGTCAGATCTAATTCAAGGTGACAAGTAATTCCATGAAAAATCAATCAAATGCAAAAAAAGTTGCTACATGTAAAATAAAATAAAAAATAATAAATTGTGCTTTATGCGTTCTAAAATAAAGGAGACAAACCGATGAAGTATGTTAACAAAAATAATACCAACCCTCTCTCTCCCTCTCCATATATATGTGTATATACATATATATATATACATATATATATATATATGTGATGTATGTATGTATGTATGTATATATGGATAAAGTCATAGCCAAAATTACAAAAACAGAAAATAATGTTTTCAGGAAAAGATATCTTTTCTAATGAAAAGCAGCAAAGGGGAATCTCTAGTTCTACTAACAATTTTATTTACTGTAAAACATTCATTTTTTAGCTATTTTAGGAAATTGACTTTTTTTTCTTTAAAAAAAAAGTTTCTAACTCCTTATCTTTATATCATTTACCAGGCATAATCATTTCATGCTCATATCTATTAACTAACAGTAGGTAGGTAAGATCTTAAATTACACATACAACAATGCAACATTATGTGTGTTAAATGCCTGGCACACTGTAACTCAATAAATGTTAACTGTGACAGTGGGAGAGGTGGTCTTTTCTCCTCTCTCATGGCAATTTTAATATACTGTTATTAATAATTCTCATATCATAACCATAAACACAGAAATGTGCTCCGATTAAGTTGTGAGTTTTTATTCATCAGGAAAATACTCATCAAATGCTTACAATTCATGACTTAAGACCAAGGCAAGTATGATTTACTCTATTAATCACAGATCTTTATCAATCAGTTTAAACAGCCTCGTGTATCCAAAAGCATTTATCTACAAAATATTTAACTGGAATGAAAAGTAGTCTCTGGCTGGAAAAAAAAAAAAGTGTATTTGTCCCACTTCAAGATAACCTGTGGTCACACATTATAAATAGAACTACTAACAAATCAAGCAGATTCAACCACTTCTCACTAATGCAGTTATCACCTTTTTCCAAGGTATCTACAATTTTCATCCATTCCAGAAAAGTCATCCTGGTTTTTGAAACTCTACCCTTGTCTCCCTACACTACTCTCAGCAGTGAAAAATGATCTAAAAAACAAATATATAAATTAAAAGAAAGACAGAACATGCCATCCCCATTGACCAAAACTCTACAGTAGCTTTCTGTCTTACTCAGAGGAGGTAAACCTTACCCTAGCCTATAATACTTCTCTAATTTATCTTTCCACATCTTCTCACTCACTTCTGGCTACCCCAGAATCTCTGTTATTCTGCTAAATGTCAAACACATTACAATGATGCTAACAAATCCAAACGAGTAAAACACTGAAAATTGTCAAATAAATCAAATACGGTATCACAAACTAAATTTTTCTCTTTTAATTTAATAACAAGACAGCGTGGTGAACAGCTGTCAGTGTAGCACTCAGCAATCTCAACTGATGAACTTAGAAATTTGAAACTCTCCACAATGGAAGACAAACAGGTAAAAATGTGATCCAGGGCCAGGCGTTGGTGGTGAACGCCTTTAATCCCAGCACTCGGGAGGCAGAGGCAGGTGGATCTCTGTGAGTTCAAGGCCAGCCTGGTCTCCAGAGCGAGTGCCAGGATAGGCTCCAAAGCTACACAGTGAAACCCTGTCTCGAAAAAAACAAAAAACAAAACAAAAAACAAAAGAAGAATTAGAAGAAGAAGAAGAAGAAGAAGAAGAAGAAGAAGAAGAAGAAGAAGAAGAAGAAGAAGAAGTGATCCAGATATACTGACGACTATACACAAGCTAGCTGGAACCTCAGTTCACCTAAGATAGCAAAAGATATCTCGAACACTTAAAAGAAAAAATGAAACATGCTCATTCAAGTAGCCCTAATTAACTAAACTCAACACACACACACACACACACGTATGTGATGAAATGGTTGGGAAAACAAAAGAGGGTAATTGGTGGTGCATATGATCAAAACACATTATATGCTTGTATAAAATTGTCAAGAAGAAAAACGAAATACATACAAACAAAACAAACATGCTACCCGAGAACAAGAAGCATGAAGAGGTTGCATCTCAATTTACTTATTCTCTGACTCAACGAAAATGACAATACCGCTACAGTTATCGCCAAAGATAACTACTGAAAGATAAATGAAAGGTGTAACAAGCTAAAAATTAAAGCATTAGTACGAAGACTGAGGATTTTGTCAGGGCACCAGTAGGATAGGATGAGTCCTTATTTCATTCCACTTCTCTCTTCCCAAAAGCTATCCCTTCGCCCCGATATAACGCCCCAGCAGTGCGGTAGAAAAGGCCAAAACTGCTTCTAACTCTTCCGTTACGATTCCTCGTCACAATACGGGAAAACTAGACAACTATTCGTCCAATTAAAGCCTTAGGTTGTCCAGAAGCCGCTCAAAAGAACTTGAGAGACCTCACAAAAGGGTATGAAGCTGACCTCGGCGAGCTATAAACACCCAGCAAACCATAATCTGGGGGTGAGTAAGAGCGTAACATAAATTACCTCGGATATCTACCGCCGCCATAATTCCAAAAGCGCTCCAAGAGCTTCCTTCCGGCGCACAGAAAAGGTATTGACTACCGCGACGGATCAGCGGTTGCCGTCCGTACGGGAAGCAAGGAGGGCAAAAGTATTCTCGCGAAATGCGGAGGCGGGGCCGGGTGGGGAAAGATAAAGTAGGAGGAGCCTGGAGTAAGGAAAGGGCGGGACCTGTAGACCGGTGGAGTAAGAGAAAAGAGGGCAGCCTCGCAGTGGGCGCCAAAGCTGCAACTGACTGCGTCTGGAGGGACAGAGCCAGACCAAAATGTAGGCAAAGCATCAGGGCAGAACAGTGGGGAAAGCTAATTCTATTTACAGGTAAAGAGGTTGAGCAGAGTCCCGCCTCAGGCACGCCACTGATATTCCAAAATTCTCCTCTAAATCGACTTTAAGGGCTCTCACTTGTCATCCCAGGTCTCAGGAGGCAGAGCCAAGTGGATTACACAGACAGTATTTTCAAAATAATAAAAACACCTCATACAAATGAGCCGATATTTAGCAAAGAATTCAAAAGTCTTTGGCTTGCCCTGACGGCTGAGCCCATTAAAAACCTAAACCAATTAAAAACTTGAATTAGTTTATGACTAAATTTCACAAAATAGGAAGCGCTTCTGAGGTAAACTTAATACAAGATTAAGAGAAAAGGAACTCTCTGAGTAGTGTCCTAGTGCCTGCCTTCCAGGTGGTCTGGAACAGGCAGACTACAGATAGGGAACAATTCTGTGGTGTGGAGAAGGTGTAGAAAACAACAGAAGGAGTTTCTGTGTCTAGTTTGTCTTTGTAAAAGCAAAATGATGGAGACGCCTGCAAACAAGACACCCCCTCCCCAAACACTGAAGGAAGGAGCCTATATTCTCAAAACTAAATACTACCCAGCCCCCACCCCCAGCATTTAACCATAACCAACTCCTACGGGGGGAGGACCACTCATTTAATTGGGGTTTTTCCACTCATAGTCCAAAGAATAGAACATTTTAAATCTCAGTGTAATAAAAGCATACTGATTATTTACTTCAATTTTCTAACTAGGCTTTTATAGCTGAAATGATGTGGATAAAAGAAATGTTTGCAAAGAACTAGATCTTGTAGAGCAGGCTGGTCTCAAACTCACAGAGATCTGCCTACCTCTGCCTCTGGAGGGCTGGGATTAAAGGCGTGTGCTACCACTGCCCAGCTACTAAACCAGGTTTTTAAATGCAGTTTCAGCAGGAATCAGCAAGCTTTCTGTTTTGTTTCACCGGCCTTGTTTCCTTGTTTCCTTGTTTCCTTAGAAGCAGATTGGGAGAGGCTGTGAGAGAACACAAGGCAAGTATGATAAACCAGATGCATGTTAACTCAGACTAGGGAAGTCCACTGGATTTTGCAGGTAACAGGAGAAATGTGATTGAACTTTCGGTTTTAGAAAGTTGCTTTAAGGAGGATGAGTTGGAAGTATTCATAAGACTCAAATCAGGGAGTGTTTTTAGGAGGTCATTGGAAACTAAATGATGTCTCCACTAATAAAAATGATTGAACCGGGACGGAAGATAAAAAAATATTTAGGTGACAGAATTAAAGAGCAAAAGCCTGCTGAGGGAGAGGAATTAAAAGTGAGTCTTAGCATACTGATTGATAAAACGAGATGTGATTGATCCACTCAGAAATAACAACAGTGAGAAGATGAAAATGAAGAACTGTTTATTTTGTGCATTGGTTGTATTGCACATGGTATTACCTGAAAGGCATCCAATAGACCAGGGTTTCTTAGGCTTTTTGCTGTTGAGGTTTAGAGCCAATGAGCTCTTCTCCTGAAATAACAGGGAGCTGTCCTATTAATTGCTTAGTACCCAACAGAGTCTCCTTTGCAGTAGGTGCTCGGCAATATTTGTTGATTGAGCTAATGCTTGAATGAATGAACAGGTGGTTTGACAGCCTTTCAGACAATAATAAACTCCTAGAATTCAACGGTAAATGGGAATGGATTTGTGGGAAGTCCATCTTAAGGAAACGCCTCAGCCCCTCATTAGCTGCAGCCCTCTGGAGAGCAGGCCCTGCACCTCGACTAGGCATAATAGAGCTGACCTTTTTGATGGGTTGCAGGTAGGCCAGCCCCAAGGGTGTGAGCATGGGAGAGCTGGCCCCACTACTTGTCTGTTGTAGGTCAGTGTGGGTGAGAGAGAGATGCCCCCCCCTTACCCCTTATCCCTTGCCACCTTCAGCAGGTAGGAGAGCTGGCCCCTGGGTTATGGAGAGTGGAAGAGCTGGCCCTGCACTCACCAGCAGCAGCACTCAGGAGAGCAGACCTTGCACCACACCTAGGCAGCACAATAGAGCTGAACCTGTTGATGGAGGTGAATATGGCCAGAGATTGTAAGCATGGAGATCTGGCCTGCCCCTCATCTGCCATATGGAGAAACTGCTCTCTCCCCTACCCTCGCCCCTCACCACCCGTGGCAGGTGGGCGAGCTGGCCCTGAGGTTGTGAGAGCAGGAGAACTGGTCCTGCCCCTCACAAACCGCAGCACTCAGGATAGTGACCTCTGCAACACAGTAGAGCTGACCCTGGTGGTGTAGGTGTGGGAGAGCCAGCCCTGGGGGCGTGAAAGCAGGAGAACCTGCCTCACCCCTTGCTGATTGCTGCACAGAAAGAACTAGCCAGCAAAGTGCTGGAGAGCTTGCCCTGGTGGTGAGGACAGAAGTGGTGAGCTGCCAGAACCAGTGCTATGAGTTGGCTACCCCAACATCCATCCTAGCTATGACCTGCTGGAGCAGGTGAAGGGGTCAGTCCTGCATATATCCAAAACTGTGGGAACTCCACAACACAGGACAATAACAGGATAACCAAGAGGAATCCCAGTTGAAGGCCCAGTATCAATAGTGTAGCAGAATCCAGAGGCCTCAAACCAGACCAATGACTCATTGCGATGAGCACTTACAAATAAAGATATATAGACTAAAATATATAGTTTGTGACTCACTGTGTCACACTATAGATTCTTCAGCAACATTTTTCTTTTTTTCTTTTCTTTCCTTTTTTTGTTCTTTTCTCTTAAATTTTACTTCATTTTATTGGGGGGGTAGTGGTAGAGTGTGGATGTTGTGGAGGAGGAAGATGGGTAGGTTCAAGATGCATGGTGTGAAAGCCACAAGGAATCAGTGAAAACTTTTAAAAAAGAAAAAAAAAAAAAACTCCTAAGATCTCCCCTGTCTAGAGAACAACACAAAACACAGAATAAAAATTCATGCTAATGTTCTAAATAAAAACAAAATCACACGACTGTGTTCCACATGATATCCTTTAGAAAGTGTTCTAGAAAATAAGAAGTCTGTGTGAAATGTTTTCTTCTCCTCTTATGATAAGGAAATTCAGGTATTTTGTAATATAAATGAGGGTATAAAATAGCATCAGGATTGCAGAGGCAACACCTCTGAAAAGTCATTCTGGAATCTCTCCAGTGGCCCAGGGAGAGACCAAGTATCAAGATGGTTTGTGTGTTTGTTAAAAGAAAATACATCATTCATATGGCATGGAGTATAGGACATTACTTTTGAAAACAGCTGTTCACCTAGGGGAAGTAGCTGGAATTGTAAAATAACCCAATCACTAGGTTTAACCCTACGATCCCAAACAGATAAGCCCAGTCCAGAAGAAACAGAATCACCAGCACCTAATGGGTGTCAGTATTCTTCTCACTACACAACATTCATTAAGGGTCTGTGAGGTTGAAATTCAAAGACCCTGATGAGGCAACCAAAAGCACCAACAATGACAAACTAGGTGATCAGAATCTCACATCACAGTAGACAATCCCTAACCACCATCATGTTCTTTGGGATTAAGGTCCCCGGGTTGCTTAACAAATTCTGGAGTGTCAAGTGGGAGCCCAAAGTCAAATAGCTGTGTGTCAAGTGACAATCACAGAAAATAGCAACAACATGCAAAACTGCTGATGAACCCTTCTCACGGACCTATTAATAGAGGATTAGGCAGTTTCCTGAATAAGACTAACAATGAAGGGGGTACAGCTGTGGTGATATATTATTCATGACTTATTAAAGCTTGCCTGAGGATTCAGAAAAGCAAACTCATCCTCAAGCTATAGATATCAGGCAGTGGTGATACACACTGTTAATCCCAGCAGCCACGGAGCTAGGAGGTGGTGGTACACACCTTTAATCCTAGGACTCAGGATTAAGAAGTATATGGATCTCTGTCAGTCCAGAGCCACCCAGATCTACATAAGACTGATCCAGTCCTAAAGAGAAACAGCTCACACAGATGATCTCAGCACCTGGGATCACATGCCTTTAATCCCAGCACTTGAGGGGTATAAAAGATAGGATCTTCAGTAGTCAGTATCAGTCATCCATTCTCCAGCCACACTGAAGACAGGATGGCAAATCATTCTCCAGCCACATTGAGGATAGGAAGACATTGAAGTCTCAGGATTCTCCAGCCACGCTGAGGAAAGGCTTCAGTCTGGGGTTTGAGGTAGAGTGAGAGCTAGTGCCCAGCTGCTTTGTTTTTCTGGACTTCAGCTTGAAGTTTGAACCCCAATATCAGTCTCTGGGTCTTTTATTTACCATGCAACATGAGCTCAGTGGTAGGTGCTTCCCTAGTGTGGACAAGACCCTGGGCTGCATCTCTAGCATTCAAAAGAAGTTGTAGCCACATGTGGTGGCACACATTTGTAATCCCAGCACTTGTGAGACAAAGGCAGGAAGGTCCCTGCAAATTCGAGATGAGTCTGCTCTAGAGAGTGAGTTCCAGGCCAGCCAGGGCTACACACTGAGATACTGTACCATCAACCCCCTTCCAAAAAGCTGCCTAGATTTTATTAATAATAGAATCAATTGAGCCTGGTATTCTTGTTGCCATTTTAATCTGGGCCTTTTCTACATGTGGCTCTCACTGTTAGTCATATTTATTTCATGATTAAAAGCACCAAAGATTTATCTAATTTGATCGTATGTGTTTAAAAAGTCAACTCTCACCTTAATGAATTCTAGTGTCTTTTAATCTTTCATTTATTTCTGCTCTTTTTTTTGTTTTGTTTGTTTGTTTGTTTGTTTGTTTTGTTTTTCAAGACAGGGTTTCTCTGTAGCTTTGGAGGCTGTCCTGGAACTTGTTCTGTAGAGCAGGCTGGTCTCTAACTCACAGAGATCCACCTTCCT